ATATATATATATATATATATATATATATATATATACATATATATGTGTGTATATGTATTGTATACTGTATGTATGAAAGAATGTTTAACAGGAAGTTCTAGAAAATTGATCTATTCAAAGTAAATGTAACTCTTTAACTTAGAATCGCTGACAGATAAAAGAGACACAAAAAGTTAACATAGACTGATATTTAAGAGAAAATTATACTATTGACAGTTGTGGAAAAGCGCTACAGAGTACTGTACTTACAATTAAATGATTTGATAGCGTCAATCACATTTTATTGTGAAAAGTCAAATCGGAAACCGAAGTGACGAGGCGCTTAAGAGACAGTGAAACAGGAAGCTGTAAAAGTTTGTCTTGTGCGGACATTCCTTCCTAGTTTGCGTATTCATTATTTACTGGTAAGAAGCGTTTCTTTACAGCTGCTGAATTGTAGTAAAAAATGCTCGGCTTTGACATTCAGATATTAACTTTATTCCTAAGTCATTGTGAGCAACAGCTACTGTGTTTTTTCAGAGAATTAAGAGCATTAATGTCGGGTATGTGTTGTGAGAAAAGCGCTAAATTGGTTTCGAGCTGTTCGATATTTTTTATCAGCTTCTACAAAGAAGAGGGAGGAGTGCTAAAGTTATTGTTTGCAACATACGTGACTTAAACGTTGTGTGAAGTGCTTTTAAGTATGTTCAGTCAGAAAAGTGTTTTTACTGTGTTCTCAGAGGAGAAGCATGACTCTGCAGTGGACTGCTGTTGCTCTCTTCCTCTATGTGGAGATTGGTATTATCGTCATCCTCTGTTTGCCCTTCATCTCTGCCAGAAGGTAACAGGAAGTCTTCTAGTATTCTGCTCAGTACGGTGGGGTAGTAAAACGAAATGCCGTCTTGTAATATGTGGTTATCTGGAACGTGTTCCCTGTTTTAGTGGTTTAAAATGTTTATTATTTGCAGATGGCAGAGTATTTTCAACCTGCGCATCTGGAGCTGGATGGCGAGGTTCTGGAACAAGGTTTTTCTCACCATGATCATAATACTCGTCGTGCTCTTTATTGGTAAGCAGCAAAAGGCATGATCTTTTTATTATATGCATTTATTTCATTTCAATTGCAACAGCTGGGGTTTAAGATCAGCCAATCGGCTTTTTGAACAACTCTCATTATGTTGCATAAAAAGAAAAATGATTTAATTTTCCATAATTCAAAAAAAAAAAAAAGTTTAAAATCATATGGCACTTCTAACTGGGTGTTAAACTCAGTGTTCCTCCAATCGTTATTCAAGGAGGGCGTCCCGCCCTCTCAACAGAACTGAGCACCCTGCCTACTGAAATGTCCTTCACCCGATACACCCCCCACCCAGTCGAAACTGACGTAGCACTAAGCTAGCTGCGTGCAATGCAGACGCGCTAGCAAGAAATCACTGACGTAGCTAGGCCTGTCGCGATAAACAATCAATCCAATTAATCGCATTTTCATTTATGGGAGAAACACCTTCGTCTTGTCGAGCTCCAAAATTCACAGTTGAAACCTGTGCCTTCGTGTAAAAAGTTTTTCTCTGCAAAAAGAAGCTGAGAACTTGTTTACTGATTTTTTAATTTATTTTTATAACTATAAGCTTTTGTGTGAAAAATGCTATGCTAAAGAGCTCATACCACACCGAGGGTCCACTATGTCAGCCCACGTCACGTCAAGGGGCCTCCCTCCCATTTTTCTTAGAGACAGCTGCTTAACTATCCATCCTTCGGTTCAAACGGTCTTATACTGCCATCCGGTTGTCAAAAAAGGTACTACACACCAAACAAACATTTCTTGTAAAATTTGACCAGTATTATTATTGTTGAATTTCAAACAATATTGTTTATTGCTGTAATTTCTGAGACTATCTCCCACCAAAATGTTTGTTATTGTGACAGGCCTAGACATAGCGCTCCACTTCTCGAGCCCCACTAGTCGACAAGAAAAATCCCCGAAGAGACGAGTGCCCTGCCAAGGCTAGTGACCTGGGGGAAACGCTGTCTGTTACAAAACGTTAACTCCAGTCAGATACCTGACATCTTTTGTCTGTTGCTGCTTCTTCAATAAGCGTTTCATCTTTCTTGTTTGACGTGCTCTGTTGCCTTTTTCTGAATCAAAATCTAAGATTGCGGAAAAATTCAAAGTTGGCCAACAGTCATGAGAAGTCTGAAAAAAAAGCCTGCTCAGTTTTTTAACTATAATGAGAAGCAATAAAAATGTTTTACTTTCAAAATATCATCTTGCAGGCCAGAAAATATGTTAGAGGGCTATATTCAGCCCTCGGGCCTTCAGTTTAACATATGTACGAAGTCGTGAGAACGTTCACGTCTTTGAGGTTATTGTTAATGTTTTGGGTCTACATCATTTATACACCGGCACGTGAAGCGGCACTCTTAAAAGGTGGAGTCTGCACATCATTTTAAAAGCGGTGCTTCAGCTCACTCATTCTGAACGCCCTGCGCAGAGAACAGCAGTGAATCAGCTGAGTAAGATTAGAACAAGTCTGTGTGTTAAACAGCAGGTGATTTGCATTTCTTTTAGTTTTAATTGTACATTTAACAGGAACTCTAGGTACTCTCACTCTGTTTTAAGGTGGCACCTCCTCTGCCACTAAACATTTTCATCCTCGCTTCAGGAGACTAACCCTTCTCTCCTCACTTCTGGCTGGGCTGTGTCTTGGCAAACCAAAAGGAGCAGACCCACTTTTCTTTTTGACGTTGCGTCAACAAGCCTGGATGCTTCAGACCAACAAACTGCCCAGACTGAAATACATGTGGTCACACTTTGTGATCATCCCTCTTCTAACTTGGTTTGACTGGCAGCACCTGGCTGTTCATTTTCCTGAAGCAACATTTTCTTTAAATCGTTAAGTAAAAAAAAGTGCTTCTAAGGCCGCAGAAAAAAAAACTGAAAATTTTAGGAATAAACTTTATAGTCTTTTTGTAAAGACATATACTAAGAGTAATGCTGTTTTTTTATGTTTTTTTTATTGTTGGAACAGATTTAACAAAAGTCTTTAGAGTTGTATCCAGATTACATTTAAACCATAAACCTTTCTGTGCGGGGCGTACGCAGTGGTTCATTGTTTGTTTCTGCTTTGTCGTAGACGCTGTGCGTGAGGTGAGGAAGTACTCCAATAAAGAAATCACCCCAGATTCCAAGTTGCAGCCAAATATTTTTGACCACCTGCACATGAAGCTGTTCAGGGCTCAAAGGAACCTCTACATCTCTGGTTTTGCCGTCTTCCTCTGGCTGTGAGTTTTTACATTCATTTGCTGCATACCTCTCCTTTAAACCATACCAACCTCCCACGTGGCTATTATTCCCCCCCCACAGAGTTATGAAGCGGCTGGTCACTTTAATTAACCAGCTGGCATCTGTGTCCGGGATGACGGTGGCGCTTCAAGCTCAGGCTGAGAATGCAAACGAAGCAGCTGAGAAGTTCATGAAAGACAACGACCAGCTGAAACAGGTATGTTCTCTGCGTTGTTGGGAAATCTGTCCATAACCCACTCTGCAGCTGCAGTCAACAATGGTTCAGTTGACCTTATGGGGCATAACTTTAATATTCCACATTTCTACTGCACCCCACAAATGGTTTGACTAATAATTCACTCCATTTTGTTTTTCTTTATAATTTATGTTGCAGATCTTAATGGAAGGGAAGGGTGACAAGGCAACTGCAGAGGGCATGGAACTGTTGAGGAACGAAGTGGGAACACTGAAAGAAAAGCTGAAGCTTTCTGAAGATGGTTAGTTTTTATGGACAACTACCCCCCCCCCCCCCCCCCCCCGATACATACTGATTTTCATAACATGTTACTTTTCATCATGTGACCAGGAGAAAGTTGAGCTGACATGTAAATACCCAGACGATGCCGTGTGTTCATGGGTGAATATTTCCTTTGCAGCTCTGAAGAAGTCTCGCTCAGAGGCAGATGTGATGAAGAAGCAGACCGAGGGCCTTGCCAGGGAGTATGACCGGCTGCTCAAGGAGCATCAGGAGCTCCAGGTAATGCTAATCTAACAGCACCACTTTTTGGGCTATCGCCCGTCGTTGCAAAGCGAAGAGGTGAATTGGAAATGCCATCTGTCCGTCCATATTGTGAGCTTGTTAACTTGAAAAATAGAGGCACAGACTTTCACGCCGACTATTCCACGCCTTGCTCTTGGAGTGATCTTTGTTGGTCCACCACTCCTGGGGAGGGTAACGGTGGTCTTGAATTTCCTCCATTTGTCCACAATCTGTCTGACTGTAGATTGGTGGAGTCCAAACTCTTTAGAGATAGTTTTGTCACATTTTCCAGCCTGATGAGCATCAACAACTCTTCTTTGTTCGTGCCATGATCCACTTCCACAAAGAGCAGACTTTGATAGATCCTGTTCTTTAAATCAAACGAGGTGTCCACTCTAGGGCTGGGCCACATCATATCGTTCACGATAATACCGGTAACAAAAGCTTGCTCGGGCAAAAAAATTATATATGATGTGCTAATTTCATGATGTAATGCGTCAGGGCGCCCCGCCCCCTTAACAGAACAGAGCGTGCCGAACGACTACACCGAATTGCGCATCTCCCCTCCACCTGTCGGTACTGGTGTGACGCTTATTAGCTGCGTGCAATACTAGCTAGCTAAAAAGCTAAAAACAAACAATGCGCAGCTCAGCTGTTTCTCCATCCAGCTCTGAACTGCAGGAACAAACAACTCAAATGTCTCTCCCTTCCACTGCTCTAAGCTGCCACTCGTCTTTTTTTTTCTCTCCCCACACTGCCCTGGGCTGCCGGTGCGGGCTGCGTCTCCCCCGTTCTAAAATGCCGGTACAAACTCAACTGTCTTAAGATCCACAGTCCATGGAGCAAGAACAGAGTCGGGTGAACAGAGTCGGGTGAACAGAGTCGGGTGAACA